CCGAGGAGCCCCGCCCCCCCCCCCCCCCAACCCCAGCCTGCCCGTTCCCTCGCTATTCCCTATCTTTCTGTTTCCTTTTCTCTCTTCTCCTTTTCCCGGAATTCTCCCTCCCCGCACTGCCCTCCTCCCCCGCTTTGCCCGCTCCGCACACACGCCCCCGGAGCGCCAGGCAGGGGCAGTAGGGAGCCTGCGCTCGGCCCCCGCGCTGCCGCCGTCCCGCCCCGGCCCCCCCCGCCGGGCAGCGCCGGGGACCCCCTCCCCCGCCCGGCTATTCCGGGGCGAATCCCCCGGCCTTCCCGACCGTGATTTTTCTCCTGTTTTATTTTTTTTAATTTTACCTCTCGATCCTCTTCTCGGAGGGGTCGCTGCGCGGCCTCCCCTCCCACCCCGACTTCCAACCTCTTCGCTCCCTTCCCCACCCTCGCAGAGGCGAAGGGGGAGTCCCCACCGCGCCCGAACAGCGGCCGAGGGTCTCCTCCCTCGCTCATCGCGCCCCGCATCGCCCGTGGGTCCGGGGGAGCTGAGACAGGCGGCCCCCTCCCTGCCACCATCCTCGGCCGCCCGGGAAGGGGGAAGGTAGGCAGAGAGGGCGGGAGGGGCCGGCTTCTTCCTCCTCCTCCTCCTCCTGCCGCTGGTGTGAGATCGGCCCCTCTGCCTGCGCCGGAGGGGGGGGCAGCCTGCTACTGCGAACGAGAGAAAGAGGAAGGGGAAAGAAGAGAAAAAGGGGGGGCAGAAAGGGTGTTGAAACCCGCCCCCCACCTTCCCATCCCGCGATCGGTGCTGCCTCCATCAGGACAACAACCCCTCCTCCTTCCCTGCACAACAAGATGTGAAGCGGAGACTCCTGGGACTTATCCTCACCCTCCTCATCCTTACAGCTCCCCTTTCTGCAGCCATTAGCGACGGGCGAGGAAGAAGCGAGTGGAGCTGGGGACCCCGCGCACGCCGTGCCACTCCCCCCGCCGCCTCCCCCCCAGCCCTGTCGCTGGCGGTGGGTATTTTTTCGCAGGGTGGTGTTGGAGGGGGAAGGAGCCGCTGCTAGAGGACGGTGATCTTTTTTTCTTTTTTCCTCCTCCTCTCCCCTCCTTCGCCCGCCTCCTTGTGGCGATGAGGAGGAGGAGGACGGCGCCGAGGAGGAAGAGGCTGATGGCGGCGGTGAGGAGGCAGCAGGAGGAGGAGACCCCCCGAAGGATGAAGATGATTATGGTGGCGGCGGCGAGGAAGCACCAGCACAACAGCCGGGATTAATTTTACTAAAAAAAAATTTAAATATTCACCAGCCTCCATTTTTTTAATTTTTTTTTTTTTTTTTGGCGGGGGCTTTACCTGCTTCTCCCATCTTCGTTCAGCCCTTTCGCCTGGGGGAAGAGGCCTCACTCCCCCCGCCCCAGCTCCCACCTCTCCCAGCTTCTCCGCTGCCGCCCTCCCAGAGCCCGAGGAGCCGAAAAAGGGGAACTTGGCCCCCCTTCTCCGCCAGATCTTCCTCCTCGCTCTCGGCCTTATTGTTGTTCTTCACCTGACTCGGGGCCCCAGAAGAACGTGAAGGTTTTGGGGTTCACCCCCCACCTTCTCTGTGCTCTGAGTGATTGTCTAAAAAATTAAAAATGGCCGAGAATGTGGTGGAGCCGGGCCCGCCTTCAGCCAAGCGGCCTAAACTCTCCTCACCGGCGCTCTCCGTGTCCGCCAGCGACGGCACAGGTCAGTCTCGGGGCCCCAGAGCCTCCCCGCTTCTCGGTGCCGCAATTACTGCCCTTTTCTCCCCTGTTTTGCCTAAATCTCCTCCTCCCTTTTGCTGCTGTTAGCTCGAGCCTGCTTTTCTCCTTCCCGTCTGTTTCGCCTGTTCTCGCTCCATTTGAAGCTATTTGCGTTAATGGCATAGGGAGGGTGTTCGCATGTTTTGGCCCTTCTGGTTTTTTGGAAGTGATTGAAAGCAAAGCTAGTCAGTTTATTGTGCTTTTGATCAGCTGCAGATAGGACTTAACAGTTCGTCATTTTCGTGTCTTTCACAATAGTAGCGATTACGAGCTCCTTGCTAAGCATAATGCCAGTTGCAGAAATACGAAGTAGCGCTAAAGACGATGCTTTTCTACACTTTGTTTTGAATTACGTGTGTACACACAAGTTTTCTTGGTTTTGTATTTTATTTTGCATATACGGGGTTCTTTTAGAGCTTGTTCAGAAACGAGAGATTTATTTCTCTGCTGTTTTTCTTTTTTCCTTCTTATGTGCAGTCTGCATATATGATTTACTTTTTGCAATCCTCCGTTCTTCTTCCTGCAGAAATGTATCAAAATACTGCTTTTCTGATTCAAATAGACCATCGGCTTTAGGAAAAACAGCTAAAACCAAAATCCAGATGCCACGCTTGTGGCTATAAGGTTTATTGAGAGTCTTATCTTCTTAGAGATGAAATTTTATTTCACCTTATTTGCATTAAGAATCAATATGGAGTGTAGTTAATCTTGCATCTCCTGTTTCTTTGCTGCAAGACCAAAATGTCTGAAATTCCCCTGTAGACTTAAGAGCTGTGAAGAAAAAAGGGGCTTCTCTGCAGTCCTGCAAAGGTCTTTGGTGATGCTGGGAAGGCAAACTACAGCATGAAAATTTTAGGTGTCCCAATCCCTAGCAAATATGAACTGGTTGTACTGGGAGGAGGGAGGAAGTAACAAAGGGCTCTTCAGCCTTTTAATGCTTCTTGCGAAGCAGGTGAGTATTTGGTGTCATTTTGCTGTGAGAATACTCTGTTACCTGTCCCACAGGAGTTTCTTTGAACTCCCATTAGATCCTGTTAACCTATGGGATATGGAGGAGGCCTCCTACTGCCAGTCTGGTGGGTGGTGGCATTTCTGAAGGCACCAGTGCTTTTGGTCAATGCAGTTAACGACAGGCAAGAAAAGGGAAGAGTTGTTTTCTTATTGTTGTTTTTTGGGATCTTTGTTTTGTTTTGGTTTGTTTTCTGAAAAGCTCTTTGACAATTAACACCACATTTTAATAGCAGGTCTTTGAGCAGTGGATGTGTTTCTACTTGCGATCATCTCCAAAATTTCGATTTTTGCCTTTTCTATTCTTGGTGAATGACATATTAGTTTTGAAAAGTTTGTGTGTGACTTTTAGTGCATATTAAATACAGCCAATATTATGTTGCAATTGGAGGACATGACTCTTTCTAATATCAACAGGTCTCCAGTAAGAGAGTAGAAGAGGGTTGGAGGAGCTACTCTTTGGCTAGAACTAGTTCTAGCCAGTTTTTGTGCTAGATTTGGAAAACAGTGGTTAATTCAATAATAATTGTTTTAAATTTGTCTTGATAGTGGTTATTTTGATCTGTTTAGAGAGGTGAAATAAAAATATTTTGTGAGAAAAGTTCTGATACTTTAAAAGTCTGAAAATTAAAGGCATGTTTTGATTCAAATGAACACATCTAAGTTTAAACATTTGTGATCAAATAAAGGTTGGATAATTTGTGAATGTATTTCAGTTTAACAGGTGCAGACTCTCGCAGAATACTTAGTCTTTAGTTGTTAACTTACTGGGCAGCTTTTTACAGTTAATAAATGAACTTTTTACGGTTTTGGTGAAACACTAGGGACTGGGCAGTTTCAGTACGTTTCAGACAGTTTCAGTTTTTCCCAAAGTGATTGGGACTGTCATTGCCTGGTCTATGCAGAGTTTTATAGTGGTGCAAACACTTCACGTGTGCTACATAAGACCTGTTAAAGAGTTCTTAATATTGTGGCTTTTTTTTTTTTTTTAATTGCCAAGTAATTATGGGACAGTTTTACTTTCTGTGTTTTTTAACATGACATATAATATCTATTTGTGTGGGTAAAATCCAGCCTATGAACCAATGAATGTATTTTTTCATTTGCTGCTTGAGACTGCAGTTTTTGTCACACTTCTGTTGTGGGAAACTGCTTTGAAGTTTACAATTTTTTAACCTAGCTGCTGGTTAAATTTGCTTTGAAATAGTGCAAACAGCTGTCATGAAGTAAATTCCACTTATAGAATCTTGTATTGTCCCCACTCCTCGGTTAATTATAGGAAATAAGTAACATGGTTCTTATGTACTTACTCAAGCACTCTTTTTAAAACTGTTCGATTCTCAGCACTATCAGAGAGAAGGAGAAAGGCAAGACACTTGCACTGTTGATGAAACTTCTTGCAGCAGCTGTGCATAGTGCTGTTTTTGCTGTTAACTTTTTGATTACTTTCTTAATCTGAAACATTTTAGTTTGTTAGATATGTAAAAATGATGGCTGACTCATGTCACGTTATTCCCAAACTTGCAGATGTTAAATATATTTATATTGAAGGCGAAAGAGGAGTCTTTAACTCATGTTTTCACTGTAGACCTGGATGATACTCATATTCTGGGCCTGGAATGTACTAAACTCTAATGTTGGTGGCTTTCTTCTAAAAAGAAGTAAGCAGAGATTGTCCTAATATGCTTGATTTATTGGCAGCAGCCAAATATAGTTGTATTTCTCACTTTGGTTGCAGTGCTGCATCTTCTTCTGTCTTAAAAGCTATAGATGTTTCATGTGTTCCCTGCTCAGAATTTGCTTTGCCATGGAACATACTGTGTTAGTGTGCTTTTAAGTTGCTTTATTAATGCCAGTTCAACCTTTAGGAGGCAGACTGAAATGTTTGTAGCACATCTTGTAATAAACATTCTGAAGTAGTTTAGAAAGTCTTGGGACTTTCATCATCCTCTAATATATTAGAATTTTTGGATGGTGGCACTTTTTCTTTAATGTTTTGTAGCTCTAGAATAATCTCAGAGGCAGGACTGTGTGGGATTCCCTTGAACTACACCAGGTTTTTGTACAACTTTTTTCCCCCTTTCTCTATTTAAGTGTTAAATTTGTTGCAAAGAAGAATGGTAATGATCTATGTATCTTGTACAGGCCTTAAGTTTTCCATGGGCCATTACAGCTCTACAGTGGGATCGTGCTTTGGTGACCGCAGTGACTTTGTTACACTTCAGTACCAGCACGGTTACAATGACAGAAGATGACACTGACTACGTTGCCATTGTAGCACCTTTGCTCACCTTTCCTAACTGGTAGCAACATTTTTGATATGTTGCACCTACTCTAGCAAGGCTTTCTTCAACATTGTGTTAGCACACCGGTGCGTATTAGTCCCCCCACTATAACAGAATAACTGGAGTGCATCCTGAGGAATTCCCTCTTGGAATAAAATGAGTGAAAGTTGTTCATAAAGATAGAATTTTAATTGGATGCTTTAAACCACTTGTTTTGGTATTGGAGGGGGGGAGGGTCAAGAGAACTTTTCCTGAAGCAATGCAGGTGTGCTGAAATTGCTATGTACAGATTTCTACGTGGTATATCCAGGGCAGGAGAGTTTTATCTTATTTTAAACCCCTCCAACATGCACTCCTCCTCCTGCTTAGAAATAAGCTGTTTTCTGTGAACTGGGAAAGCATTCTGGGTTCAAGACCGCTGTGTTTCTTCACAGAATAAAAATGGAGTACACCCCCTGGTGCAGTGTGTTTGTATAGTGTGTCTTTAGGCTGCTAGATCTGAAAATAAGATTTTAAGTGCTTAGTGTTCCAGGCTTGCTGGGACACTGGAAGTCAGTTTTCTACAATTAGTTGGCATGTGTGTTATATCGAAGAACAGAGAATGTATTTTGTGGCATGTGCATTAACATCCTTCAGTTTCCAATATCCCAAAGTCACATTTTTTTCTGCACAATAGAACATCTTCAATCTCCCTTGAAGTATCCATCTTTTGTAAAGTCTGGATGTTCCTTTTTGTCAGGAACTGTTTCTGACCTTTTAAATTTTACTCTCCCTCACATCAAAGGTCTAAGACCTGTAACGAAACTTCTCTTCTGGACTACTG